ATGTTCTTGAAAATATTATAGACACACTGCTGTGTTTCCAGATGTAATACTTTTTTTAAACAGGGGTGTTAATGTGAAGCATATTCAATATTGTTTCAACATCATCTTAGCTAGCTAACACTATTCATATCGAAAGTGCACTGTGTTATTGCATGCCCCTCACACAGACCTAGAGGCTCTCAACCCAGCATGACATAGATATATTGTCTTGTTAAAGGATGGGAACTCAGCAGGTTGGGCTTCCTCTTGAATTTGAGTGCTAGTGAAAATTACCAGGGCCCATACAGTGAGGGAAATAAGTATTTGATCCCCTGCTGATTTTGTACGTTTGCCCACTGACAAAGACAAGATAAGTCTATAATTTTAATGGTAGGTTTATTTGAACAGTGAGAGACAGAATAACAACAAAAAAATCCAGAAAAACGCATGTCAAAAATGTTATGAATTGATTTGCATTTTAATGAGGGAAATAAGTATTTGACCCCTCTGCAAAACATGACTTAGTACTTCGTGGCAAAACCCTTGTTGGCAATCACAGAGGTCAGACATTTCTTGTAGTTGGCCACCAGGTTCGCACACATCTCAGGAGGGATTTTGTTCCACTCCTCTTTGCAGATCTTCTCCAAGTCATTAAGGTTTCGAGGCTGATGTTTGGCAGCTCGAACCTTCAACTCCCTCCATAGATTTTCTATGGGATTAAGGTCTGGAGACTGGCTAGGCCACTCCAGGACCTGAATGTGCTTCTTCCTGAGCCACTCCTTTGTTGCCTTGGCCGTGTGTTTTGGGTCATTGTCATGCTGGAATACCCTTCCACGACCCATTTTCAATGCCCTGGCTGAGGGAAGGAGGTTCTCACCCAAGATTTGACGGTACATGGCCCCGTCCATCGTCCCTTTGATGCGGTGAAGTTGTCCTGTCCCGTTAGCAGAACCCCCCCCCCAAAACATAGTGTTTCCACCTCCATGTTTGACGGTGGAGATGGTGTTCTTGGGGTCATAGGCAGCATTCCTCCTCCTCCAAACACGGCGAGTTGAGGTGATGCCAAAGAGCTCGATTTTGGTCTCATCTGACCACAACACTTTCACCCAGTTCTCCTCTGAATCATTCAGATGTTCATTGGCAAACTTCAGACGGGCCTGTATATGTGCTTTCTTGAGCAGGGGGACCTTGCGGGCGCTGCAGGATTTCAGTCCTTCACGGCGTAGTGTGTTACCAATTGTTTTCTTGGTGACTATGGTCCCAGCTGCCTTGAGATCATTGACAAGATCCTCCCGTGTAGTTCTGGACTGATTCCTCACCGTTCTCATGATCATTGCTACTCCACGAGGTGAGATCTTGCATGGAGCCCCAGGCCGAGGGAGATTGACAGTTATTTTATGTTTCTTCCATTTGCGAATAATCGCACTAACTGTTGTCACCTTCTTACCAAGCTGCTTGGCGATGATCTTGTAGCCCATACCAGCCTTGTGTAGGTCTACAATCTTGTCCCTGACATCCTTGGAGAGCTCTTTGGTCTTGGCCATGGTAGAGAGTTTGCAATCTGATTGATTGATTGCTTCTGGGGACAGGTGTCTTTTATACAGGTAACAAACTGAGATTAGGAGCACTCCCTTTAAGAGTGTGCTCCTAATCTCAGCTCGTTACCTGTATAAAAGACACCTGGGAGCCTGAAATCTTTCTGATTGAGAGGGGGTCAAATACTTATTTCCCTCATTAAAATGATAATCAATTTATAACATTCAAAGGCTATTTTTTACTTGTGAAATAGAATGACTGTGCGGGACCTTTTAATTTGATCACTCTTGTCACAGATAATTTTGGAAATGCAAGTTTTGGATATGCAAATTGTAGTGTATTCAAGATTTAAAAAGGGTTCTAAAGTTTGTAATTTCCACTTGATTTGCCCTAACTAAAAATGTACATTACTTATAATCCACATAATTCACATTTCCTGTAACTGAAGGATTATTTTCCTGCTGCGAGAAGCTGGGTCAAATTCAGATAGCGCATCTGAATATATATATATATATATATTTTTTTAATTTGCATAAAATCTCCATAGCCTTTAATGGGAAGTATTTGGATTCGCCACTGCTCATGATCCGTTAAAGCTTCAAAACATGTTGAAACGTTAGCATTAACCTCTTAAGGATCGGACACTTTTTTCCAATTTTCGCCTAAAATGACATACCCAAATCTAACTGCCTGTAGCTCATGGCCTGAAGCAAGGATATGCGTATTCTTGATACCATTTCAAAGGAAACACTTTGAAGTTGGTGGAAATTTGAAATTAATGTAGGAGAATATATCACATTAGATCTGGTAAAAGATAATACAAACAAAAAAACATGTGTTTTAATTTTTGTTCCGTCATCTTTGAAATGCAAGAGAAAGGACAAAATATAATAGTGCAGTTTTGGTGCAATTTAGATTTTGGCCACTAGATGGCAGCAGTGCGTTTGCAACATTTTAGATTGATCCAGTGAAGCATTGCAATACTGCACTATTTTGTATCAAGTCTGCCCAAATGTGCAGAATTGGTCAATTGGTACATTTAAGTACATAACTATAGAGGACTTACAAAAATGATATGGTAATACAAAATGTAAGTTTACACACTCCCAGGAATGTCATACATTATGGCTCATTAGCTTATACACTAACTTTCACACATCTAGATGGCCGGACAGTATAACCCAGTTCCTACATTTGAATATAAAAATGGATTTTATTAAACAAAACTATGCTACATTTTATCTCTGGGACCATTAGGATGACAAATCAGAGCAAGAGGTGAATGTATCAAACCAGTTGCCGTGATAAGTTTGTTGTAGTGCACTCTCCTTAAACAATAGCATGGTATTTTTTTCACTGTAATAGCTACTGTATATTGGACAGTGCAGTTAGATTAACAAGAATTTAAGCTTTCTGCCTATATAAGACATGTCTATGTCCTGGAAAGTTTGCTGTTACTTACAACAGTCATGCTAATCACATTAGCGCACGTTAGCTCAACCGTCCCATATATGGACACCGATCCCGTAGAGGTTAAATAACCCAGCAACAATGTAGCAACCCTTGAACCGTACAAGTTAAAGACACCAAGCCATCTTTTACAATGTTAAAAATCCTTAAGAGTCCATTGACACACCTGTGCGTCAATCTAAGTAACATAATACAAACATCCCCATCAATCTGTCAGTTTAAGCAAGAGATAACGTTTTTTGCATGGGCTGCTTCTCAATCCACCGCATCCGCCTATGTCGGCCTTCCGCATCTACGGTGGAATGTGGCCAAGATACAGCTCCAAACGGCTTAGCCTTAAAACCTATAAAAGTCTGTCATTCAACCAATATGTCAAATCAATCAATTTATCTATACTTCTTTCAACTATAAACATAGAACATTTGCATAAATAAATGCCATAGCCTAGAACAGTGGTTCCCAACCTTTTTCATTGCCGTACCACCAACTGAATTTTGCTCTGCCCGGAGTACCCCTTCATGCATTTTACCAATAGACCGATGGTCTCATGAGTCTTCTCAAGTACCCCCTGTGGATAGGCCAAGTACCCCCAGGGGTCCTAGTACCCCTGGTTGGGAACCACTGGACTAGAATAGTACATTTATCATTTCAGATGTGCAGACTAATACAGCTTTATGCTACCACAGCCACTACTAATATCAGTAGAACCACAGTCATTACTACTACTACCACTACTACTACTACTATCACCTCTACTATTAAAGTCACTTCTACTACTACTGCAGTCACTACAATTTATTTCACAACCATACCTACTTCAAGACAAGCTAGCAAGCATACACATTTTCTTTACGAAATGTACTTTTCATATTACTTGCACTAGCACTTAATCCGCTTAAGATTTCACCACCAAGCAAAAATGTAGAATGTGTAGACAGCCCCAACTTAGATTGTTAGAAAAAAACATTGATACTATTTATACTTTTTGTACTAAAACCATATTTGCATAAAACCCAATTCATTTAAATGGCCATAGATTTGAATGGTAAAAATATTTATCATTCTAGAAGCTATTGTTAATCTCATTAGGACTGCCCAAGGAGACCCCAAATAACAAATTTAAACATAAAAATGGACACAATTTAGCTGAAAAAAAAAATCTAAGCACATGTGTGGTTTGTATCACTTAATGCCCAAAGTTGCATATACGTTACAAAAATGTCAAGTAACTTCGGCAAAAATGAAGATTCCTTCAAAAATGTTGTCAGGCGTTTCGACATTTTATGAGCATTTTGCATGTATTGAATCTCAGAAACTCACCTTCCCGACATTGTACGAGACCACCAATTTCCGTGTATACCAATCTTCAATTGTAATTATACTAAGGTTGGCCACCAGATGGTGCCAAAAGTGTTTAAAACATTTATTTATTTTAAATTTTTAGTCATTTAGCATTACATTTACATTTTAGTAGACGCTCTTATCCAGAGCAACTTACAGTTAGTGAATACATATATTTTATTTTATACTGGCCCCCGTGGGAAACGAACCCACAACCCTGGCGTTGCAAACGCCATGCTTTATCAACTGAGCTACATCCCTGCCGGCAATTCCCTCCCCTACCCTGGACGACGCTGGGCCAATTGTGCGCCGCCCATGAGTCTCCCGGTCGTGGCCGGCTGCGACAGAGCCTGGATTCGAACCAGGATCTCTAGTGGCACAGTTAGCACTACGATGCAGTGCCTTAGACCACTGCACCACTCAGGAGTGTACATTACATGTTGCGTTTTATATTTTTGTTCAGTTTAATATCAGCATAAGCAAAGTTCATAAAATTTAAGTAAACAAATTATACCACGAGAAGACAACCAAAGCGCAATCTTGAGTGGTTTTTACTGTGAGCAGTGACTTGCATATTACATTATGTCTGTCTTTGAGAGAACAAAAAGATTGGAGATGAGTGTAAAGGGAATGTCTGTTGAAGCGATGTGGTGGGCTGGACCTGGAGCCCTCTTCTACCCAAACACGCCTGGGTCGTGTAGTCTGAGAGACTGCAGTAAATGCTGGAAGTCCTGCAGCGTCCACGGCTCTGTGTCCTCCTGCTGCTCTCCTATCCCCACTGCACTGCTGCTGCCAGGGCTTATGCTGAGGGGGTCGTTGAAGGTCACTAGAACATCCGTAGAGAACTGTGGTAGTCGGAACAGGCCAAGGTAAATGGTCACTGTATTTTTGGCTTCCTCATTGAACTTGGCCACACACTGTGTTCCAGTGAGTAGAAAGGCAGAGCTGCACTCCTCCAGGGAAAGGTCTGACTTGGGAAGGGCCACCACAGCCCTGACCTCTGATGTCCCTGGAGCCGACGCCTTGTTGCTCCCTGCTACATCCTCAAAGTGGTACCTGGCAGACACTCTATCCAGAGCGACTTACAGTTAGTGAGTGCATATAAATATATATATATTTTTTTTTTCATACTGGCCCTCCGTGGGAAGCGAACCCACAACCCTGGCGTTGCAAATGCCATGCTCTACCAACTGAGCTACAACATATCTGTAACATCAGGCTTTAAAGGGTTTAATTAACCATTGAATCTATAATTTCCAAACCAATGACTGACTCAAGTTAGTGCATGCATTCCAACTTTTGATTCAATTTTAAAATAAATAACTGTAAGCAAATTAACGTTTGCATAAAATGTTGAAATGAGAACCATTGTGATTTATTAGGCTCTCCATTGGTCGACACCAATGGCGACAGCTAGTCTAACTGGGGTCCGACAAAGACGAAATACTTTACATGTAGTGTCAGTGTGTGCATCTATCAGTTAAACATATCTGTACATACCCACAACAAGTAGGTCACATGGGGGAAAGGCATTGTGCCGTGAGATGTTGCTTTATTTATTTATTTATTTTTTTTATCAGGTTTGCTGTTCACTTGAGCTATATGAGATGGAAGGGAGTTCCATGCACTCATGGCGCTGTATAAAACTGCACGTTTCCTTGAATTTGTTCTGGACCTGTGTAGTGTTAAAAGACCCCTGGTGGCATGTCTGGGAGGGTAAGTGTGTGTCAGTGCTGTGTGTAAGTTGACTATGCAAACAATTTGGAATTTCCAACACATTCATGTTTCTTATAAAAACTAGTCATGCAGTCAGTCTTTCCTCAACTCTTAGCCAAGAGAGACTGGCATACATGGTATTAATATTAACCCTCTGATTACAATGAAGAGCAAGACGTGCAGCTCTGTTCTGGGCCAGCTGCAGCTTAACTAGGTATTTGCAGCACTTTACCATATGTTACAACCTGGCTCATAGTTTGTAACAAAGGTATGACCTAAATGTATAAAGGAATACATTTCAACTAAATACAAAAATATAACAAGCTATGTACGTCTGTAGGATCAGTAGTGTATGCAGTGTGTGGATGAGTAGAGGGTGTTGTTTGGTGAAAACAAACCAAAAACCCAAAAGGTGGTGGAAGCCAGCCTGCCAGTCAGGGAAGAGAGTCTTTGCTGATCTGGCCACCCTTTATAGCCTGTAGGCCAAGCCACATCAGTTGACGATCATCCCAGGTCTGCCCACTGGCCTCCTGCAACAAGCAGACTACCAAACAGGCGAACCCAGAAGACAGGGACGTCAACCTCAAACAAAGAGAAACATGTTTCTGGGTCCTTTTCATTAAGCACATTTCTTACAATGTCCTAAGTTGGATAGTTTGTTACTGGCAAAACTGATAACTCTTGTCTAAGCTTAACCTCTGATTAGGTCTAGCTTATACTGTTCCATCTATAATTTTGCCAACCCAGTTGTTTAATCTGCTATTTTTCTAGTTGTAGCATTAGCTCTGTTGCTCAAAACTTAAACCAGCGACACCTGGTGACGCAACTGGAGTAGCAAGCTGGATCTCGAACATTTAGGATTCCTTCCTCAACTAGTTTGGTTTTTAGACTGGCCTTCATAATATATTTAAATTGCTTACGATCCAATGCAATATTGCAGTGCTCAGCAATCTGTGCTATCTGTTCTTTAGTGCATTGCTCCAAACGTGCTTCAGACGGGCACTCAAACTTGTCTACATGAAACACAACTACATTACCAATTTATACTGAGACAAATGCCTACACAACTAGTGTTGGTTCACAGTGTACACTGATAATGTGAAGGACAACCGAGACAAAAATGTAAACCTCCCTGGCCCCATTCTAACTAATACACCCTTCTAATCTCAACCCTAGTCTATGTGCAGATACTGGCAGGGGGTATTTATGCGCTGGTTCCATCGGAAACAGAAAGGCAACCGGAAATCCAGTAACTGATCTGAATCCAAGGAAGTGCTCCAAGGCAATGTATCACAAATTGGCTCTACCCGCGGTCTCCACCACACTAAAGAGAAAACAAAATGACTGATCTCCTTTTGAGTTCAAGTCACTGAAACCTACAAGGGGATATGTGATTTCTACCAACATAGGGGACAAAAGCTACTTCCCCTCCAGCATCCAACAAAACCCCTAAAGGGTCCATGGGGAAAAACCTTGAAAATAAAAAACAAGTGTGAAACTCCCAAACTTTGGCTTTAACAAAGACTGCAACGCAAATAGTACCTCCATGCATTGTAACTGCAGAAACACAGCTGAACCCAATTTGGCACCTATTACTACCCCTACACTGTGCTCCAAGCTATATCCATGCACAAAACAGGGAGTCCAAACCAAATGCCAACCAAACAAATTAGCCAAATTTACAAACATACTACCAAAACTACCATATAACCAAAATCTCCAATTGGACGAGTGCCCACTGTGTTACGACCTGGCTCATATTTCGTAACAAAGGGAGACCACGCATGACTTAAATGTAAAAAGCAATACATTTATTCAACTAAATAATAAATACAAAAATATAACTTAAGCTGTGGACATCTGTAGGATCAGTAGTGTATTTATGAGTGGAAAGGGTGTTGTATGGTGACAACAAGCCAAAAACCCAAAAGGTGGTGGAAGCCAGTCTACCAGTCAGGGAAGAGAGAGAGTCTTGGCTGATGTGGCCACCCTTTATAGCCTGCAGGCCAAGCCTGCACAAGTGTGCCACATCAGCTGACAATCATCCCAGCTCTGCCCACTGGTCTCCTGCAAAAAGCAGACTACAAAACAGGAGATCCCAGCAGACAGAGTAGGAGGGACATCACACCATATGACGGACAATAATCAAGATAAGATAAAACTGCAGGACTTTGTGGAGTGTGGCGTCAAAAAGGTAGAGCATCTCTTTATTACGGACACACCTCTCCCCATCTTTACAACCATTGAATCTATGTGTTTTGACATTGAGAGATTACAATCTAAGGTAACACCAAGTAATTTAGTCTACTCAACTTGTTCAACAGCCACACCATTCATTACCAGATTCAGCTGAGGTCTAGAACTTTGGGAATGATTTGTACCAAATACAATGCTCTTAGTTTTAGAGATGTTCAGGACCAGTTTATTACTGGCCACCCATTACACAACTGACTGCAATTCTTTGCTAAGGGTTTAAGGGACTTCATTAGATGTGGTTGCTGACGCGTATATGGTTGAATCATCAGCATACATGGACACACATGCTTTGGTTAATGCCAGTGGCAGGTCATTGGTAAAAATAGAGTAGAGGGCCTAGGAGCTGCCCTGTGGCACACCACACTTTACATGGTTGACATTAGAGAAGCATCCATTAAAGAAAGCTCTGAATCCATGATATGGAGGTTGAAAAGTCATAACGCATACGTTTTCTCAACAACAGGTTATGGTCAATAAAATCAAAGGCTGCACTGAAATCTAACAGTACAGCTCCCACAATCTTATTTTTTTAACCAATTTCTATTAAACAATCATCAGTCATTTGTGTCAGTGCAGTACATGTTAGGTTCCCTTCTCTATAAGCATGCTGAAAGCCTGTTGTTCATTTGTTTACAGACAAATAGTGTTGTATTTGGTCAAACACTATATTTTCCAACAGTTTGCTAAGAGCTGGTAGCAAGCTGATAGGTCTGCTGTTAGAACCAGTAAAGGCCGCTTTACCACTCTTGGGTAGCGACTTTAGCTTCCATCCAGGCCTGAGGACAAACACTTTCCTCTAGGCTCAGATTAAAGATATGACAGATAGGGGTGGCTATATAGTCAGCTACCATCCTCAATAGCTTTCCTTCTAAGTTGTCAATGCCAGGAGGTTTGTCACGGGGCCCCGTATAGCACAGTTGGTAGAGCATTGCGCTTGCAACGCCAGGGTTGTGGGTTTGATTCCCACGGGGGCCAGTATGAAAACATGTATGCACTCACTAACTGTAAGTCGCTCTGGATAAGAGCGTCTGCTAAATGACTTAAATGTAAATTATTGATCAATAAAAATATTTTTTCCAGCTCTCCCACACTTTTCTTTCATTATTTTTTTTTTTATGAATGAATACGATGGCTCACTGTTCGTTGTTGGCATTTCCTGCCTAAGTTTGCCCACTTTACCAATGAAGTAATCATTAAAATAATTGGTAACATCAAATGGTTTTGTAATGAATAAGCCATCTGATTCAACAAAAGATGGAGTTGAATTTGTCTTTCTGGACATCATTTCCATCATTCTTTCTATCATTGATCTTGCCTTCATAATACAGTTTCTTCTTCTTTTTGTTGAGATTAGTCAGATAATTTCTCAATTTGCAGTAAGTCAGCCAATCAGATGTACAGCCAGACTTATTAGCCATTCCTTTTGCCCCATCTCTTTCAACCATACTGTTTTTCAATTCCTCACCAATCCATGGAGCCTTACCAGTTCTAATAGTCTGTTTCTTAACAGGTGGATGTTTATTAATATTTGGAAGAAGCAATTTCACAAATTCATCAAGTGCAGCGTCTGGATGCTCTTTATTAATCACGTCAAACCAACATATATTTGGAACATCATCCACATAAGAGTCATAACAAAATATTTTGTATGATCATTTACACTATTAGAGTGTCCAGCCTGAGATTGGAAGGTTGGGAGATCGATCCCCAAACGAGTCATACCAAAGACTGTAAAAAGGGACCCGATGCGTCTCTGCTTGGCACTCAGCATTAAGGAGATAGATGTGGGGTAAGGCCCTGCGATAGACCAGCGTCCTGTCCAGGGGGTGTACCTGTACATCAAGAAACAAGAGATAGGTTCCTGCTCCTATGAGCTGTTCTGGCTCGCACACCCCAAGGCTCATGCAAGGCTATTTTGTACATTATTTTAGGCCCAGCTTTTGGAACTTTGGCTTTCATGGATATAGCCACTATATTGTGATCACTTGCATCCAATGGGTACAGATACAGCTTTAGAACAAAGTTCTACAGTATTAGTAAAAATGTGATAAATACATGTGGATGATGTTGTTCCTATAGTGTTTGTAAACACCCTGGTAGGTTGATTAATAACCTTAACCAGATTACAGGCACTGGTTACAGGCACTGGTTATTTCTTTAGGAAATGTACATTTCTAGTCACCGTGTACAGTGCTTTCGGAAGGTATTCAGACCCCTTGACTTTTTCCAAATTTTGTTACGTTACAGCCTTATTCTAAAATGGATTAAATAAATAAAAAACCTCAGCAATCTACACACAATACCCCATAATGACAAAGTGAAAACAGGTTCATAGAAATGTTTGCTAATGTATAAAAAATAAACCTATTTATATAAGTATTCAGACCCTTTGCTATGTGACTCGAAATTGAACTCAGCTGCATCCTGTTTCCATTGATCATCCTTGAGATGATCTACAACTTGATTGGAGTCCACCTGTGGTAAATTCAAATGACTGGACATGATTTCGAAAGGCACACACCTGTCTATATAAAGTCCCACAGTTGACAGTGCATGTCAGAGCAAAAATCAAGCCATGAGGTCGAAAGAATTGTCCGTAGAGCTCCAAGACAGGATTGTGTCAAGGCACAGATCTGGGGAAGAGTACCAACACATTTCTGCAGCATTGAAGGTCCCCAAGAACACAGTGGCCTCCATCATTTTTAAATGGAAGAAGTTTGGAACCACCAAGACTCTTCCTAGAGCTGGCCACCCAGCCAAACTGAGCAATTGGGGGAGAAGGGCCTTGGTCAGGGAGGTGACCAAGTACCCGATGGTCACTCTGATACTCTAGAGTGCCACTGTGGAGATGGGAGAACCTTCCAGAAGACAACACAGGAGTGGCTTCGGGACAAGTCTCTGAATGTCCTTGAGTGGCCCAGCCAGAGCCCGGACTTGAACCCGATCAAACATCTCTGGAGAGACCTTATAATAGCTGTGCAGCGTCGCTCCCCATCCAACATGACAGAGCTTAAGAGGATCTGCAGAGAAGAATGGGGGAAACTCCCCAAATACAGGTGTGCCAAGCTTGTAGCGTTATACCCAAGAAGACTTGAGGATGTAATTGCTGCCAAAGATGCTTCAACAATTTATTTGCAAACATTTCTATAAAATGGTTTTTGCTTTGTCATTGTGGGGTGTTGTGTGGAGATTGATGAGGGAAGAATAAAGAATGAGATTGGCAGGTTGTTGCAGCACAAAGACCAACATAGACCTAAAGTATTATAGCAGAGAACACCTCTCAGTAAACAATGATACTGTATCATATCATATAGGAGCTATATAGAGTTATTCTGCTCATGTTTATTCAAATTGACCAATGATCAAAGCCAATAATTAGATTTGAGGTTAAAACAACACAATACAGATGAGGTTCTTGCACATACAGCGGCTTGCGAAAGTATTCACCCCCCTTGGCAATTATCTTATTTTGTTGCCTTCCAACCTGGAATTAAAATTGATATTTTGGGGGTTTGTATCATTTGATTTACACAACATGCCTACCACTTTGAAGATGCAAAATATATTTTATTGTGAAACAAACAAGAAATAAGACAAAAAAGCAGAAAACTTGAGCGTGCATAACTATTAACCCCCCCCCCCCCCCCAAAGTCAATACTTTGTAGACCCACCTTTTGCAGCAATTACAGCTGCAAGTCCCTTGGGGTATGTCTCTATAAGCTTGTCACATCTAGCCACTGGGATTTTTGCCCATTCTTCATGGCAAAACTGCTCCAGCTTCTTCAAGTTGGATGGGTTCCGCTGGTGTACAGCAATCTTTAAGTCATACCACAGATTCTCAATTGGATTGAGGTCTGAGCTTTGACTAGACCATTCCAAGACATTTCAATATTTCCCTTTAAACCACTCAAGTGTCGCTTTAGCAGTATGCTTAGGGTCATTGTCCTGCTGGAAGGTGAACCTCCGTCCCAGTCTCAAATCTCTGGAAGAGTGAAACAGGTTTCCCTCAAGAATTTCCCTCTATTTAGCACCATCCATCATTCCCTCAATTCTGACCAGTTTCACAGTCCCTGCTGATGAAAAACATTCCGACAGCATGATGCTGCCTCCACCATGTTTCACTGTGGGGATGGTGTTCTCGGGGTGATGAGAGGTGTTGGGTTTGCGCCAGACATAGCGTTTTCCTTGATGGCCAAAAAGCTCAATTATAGTCTCATCTGACCAGACTACCTTCTTCCATATGTTTGGGGAGTTTCCCACATGGCTCTTGGCAAACACCAAACGCGTTTGCTTATT